GTCTCTTGAATTAAATGCTCAGATCCTGCCCTGGCCAGTTTGGCTCAGCAGTTAGAGCGTTGGCCCGCAGACCAGAGAGACCCGGGTTCAGTTCCCGCTAAGGGCATGTACCTTGGTTGCAGTTTGTCCCCGGCCCCTGTTGGGGTCCTGTGGGTGGCAACCAGTCAATGTGTCTCTCTCACATAGATGTTTCTCTCTCTCTTCCTCCATCTCTTCCTCCTTCTCTCCCTCCTGCTCTATCTGAAGTTAAATGCAAAAATATCCTCAGGTGAGGATAAAAAAAACTTGAATCCTGTTCTGAGGATCTTTCCAGGTAGACAAGAGCCCTGGTTGTGTCTTTCCTGGTCACAATCGAAGGGTGACACTTTGAACAATCAGCTTCACCACTGGTTGTGCTCTATCAAATTTGAATAAAAAGCTTGGGAAAGAGAAGCTCTTAGAAAGAAGAAGACATGCCCTTGCCGGTTTGGCTCAGCGGTTAGAGCGTCGGCCTGCGGTCCTGAGAGACCCGGGTTCGGTTCCCGCTAAGGGCACGTACCTCAGTTGCAGTTTGTCCCCGGCCCTGGTGGGTTGTGCAAGTGGCCGCCACTCGATGTGTTCCTTTCACATCGATGTTTCTCTCTCTCTCTCTGTTCCTCTCTCTCCCTCCCACTCTACCTGAACAAAGAATGGAAACATGTCCTCGGGTGAGGATAAAAATAAAAAAAAAGAAAGAAAGAAGAAGACATGTAAGAATAACATTTAAATACACTTAAGTATTTAAGTGAATGTGAAGGACCTTGATACTCTAAAAGTCTATAACATGAAACATTCAAAATATTATAAGATATTCGGTACACTAGTTGGAGCAAAACAAACTTTATTATTAATGTTTAGGAAAACTAGGAGGCTGATGTTTTCACGTTCGGTATTTGTTAGCTCAGAATTGGGGAAAAGAGGTTTTCTACCCAGTGATTTTTTCTCTCTAAAGCGTAGCCATGCATTTTCCACGAGAAGACTAGTGTCCGTGGACACGATGGCTGCCCATCCCGATGGGCAGATGTGGAGGCGACGGGGCCGGGCCACTGGCTCATCTGCATTCAGGGTCCTCGTGTGGCACCTGCTTCTTCCTCTGTGCCTTTGCTTCACAGCCTGTCATCCTGGGCCTCGGGGGCGCTACTGCGCGTCTTCGGGTGCACCTTCCTGGTCTGTGGGACGACTGGGTGGTAGAGATGAACTAACAATGCATGCGAGGTGCCTGCTGCATTTTCCCTGACTCGGAGGAGACACCCAGGCCAGTTTGGTCGCTTGGAGGCCACCATGAGATGAGCAAGAAGCAGGTGCAGCGTTATGACACAGGCCCCCGCGCTCCGGTCCCAGGACGGGAGGTCCAGGGAAGACGTGGTAGTCCCCACGGCACAGTCGGAAAAGGCAGGCTGCCAGTCTGGGATGCTGTGCTGAGCCCAGTGAGGTGGGGACATGGGGACTTGGCCACCGGTGACAGTGACAGGCATGATGAGGTGGTACGACTGCATCCCATCTCTCTCTGATTAGACACCACGGTCTCCGCGACTGAGTTGTCGTCGATGATGTGTTTGTTTTTTTAAACAAACAATAGATGCAATTTTCTCTTACTCTCTGAAATCATCATAATCCTGAAGATAAAATATTTGAGACTTTCTTTTTCCTAGTTCTCCTTGGCCAAACTCTCATTCGTCACAGACACTGTCGGGAAATGCGTGCTGGTCCACAGCTCAGGGAAGGCAATGTGACTGCCTATCGCGTGCGGTGCAGAAAGGGCTGGGAGCTGTGTCCGTGCCCCTTGGACTCAGGAGAAGACTTTCTAGACGTTTCCACTTGCAAATGAGAAAATACCTCCCCTGTCTTACAAGGGCACAGGGAATTACACCTGCGAGAGCACTTTGAATATATTTAAGCACAAAAACAAATGAAGGATATCTTTACGAGACATAGGTCAAAGGAGGTCATACATGGCCTCCTGATCCAGCGAAATCTCTGGGTTCATCCGGCAGCTCCGCATCTTGGCGTGCTCTCTGCCTGTTCTTCTCGTAATTGAGATGATAGCATCTCCTTTCTTCCTCACAGAGTCTTTTGTGTTGGGGGCAAAAGTTTAAAAGCTCTCAAGGCATTGTTTTAGACGTTGAGCGTAATGAAAAATAATTGCTGAAGTTTCACCTTTGCTTGTAGGGTAATCAGTGAGATAAGATACGAACGTAATGAATTGCAGGTAGGTGTACGCCATGTGACAGCCTAGGAAAGGCAAAACAAAATCCTGCTGAAGTTCAGAGGCAAGAAAGATCTCAGGGAGTTGGTGGGAACAGGCGCTGTGGATGGCAGGTTGAGGGCAAGAGTTGTTTAAATGCATGGTCATATTGGGGTGACGGGTTATCCTGCTGACCTGGCACAGAGCAAAGAAGAGAGAGAGAGAGAGACAGAGAGGGGGAGAGAGAGAGACAGAGACAGAGAGAGAGAGAGAGAGAAAGAGAGAGAGAGAGAAGATGATCCTATTCCAGAAGAGAGAGACGAGAGAGAGGGAGAGAGAGAGAGAGAGAGAGAGAGAGAAGATGATCCTATTCCAGAAGAGAGAGAGAGAGAGAGAGAGAGAGAAGAAAGATGATCCTATTCCAGCACAATGTCTAGCGTATCAATATGAAAAAATACACGTGAATAGTTATTATGCTCATTTTAGCAAACATGGAAGAAATAAGGGCCTTACCTGGGATCTTAGAAGTGAGTGGCAGCAGAGAGAGTGAGCACCCAAGGCTCCCCACTATAATCCTGCTTCTCATCAGTTCACAGAAGGAGCATGTTTCTAAGGAAAGAGCAGGCTGAGTGGCCGTTTGCTTTTTACAAAAGTAAATAAAATGTAACTGTCTGTAGAATAGACCATGGGGTGTTAGATAAACAATGTTACATTCAGGATCGGGTACCTCTGAATGAAATTAACGATGAAGACTATTTGTTTCACATACACTGGACAAATCATAGCATTTCCGATTCTCAGATTTCTCTGTCGAATTCTTTGGGATTACAAAGATAAAGTGCAGATCTCTTCATTCAAGGCATACGTAAAATATAGAAAGAAGAAACATACAGTCAGTTTTTTGCTTTAGAATTTCCTATGCGGGAAAGAACTTTGTAATTAGCCTGACAGAAATAAATGTCATTTGATTAAAAATATGCTAGGAAATGCATACGCCTGGAGTGGGTAAACGGTGGGGCTATCCTATGTTACAATGTTACTATGTCACAATTGGCTACAAGATGACAGTTCAGAGTTTGAGTAGCCTTGAAATACTGTTGTCAATGTGTAATTAGATTTCTTTGCCATGATACTGCTGGTGGAAATGTTTTAACTTGCACATGCTGGACGTAGCATGGTAGGACATGTTGGGACAAAATGAAGTCGTTGTTCCCTTTATATCTGATAGGAATGGGGGGTCAGGCGTTTCCTGGAATGGGGTGGTTACTTTAGAAAAGGGAAGATTATTATAGTACAGTTTCAGTGTGTTTGAGCCAACCCGCCATGCCCATACTGAAAAGGAAACCATGATTTCACAGAATATCTCTTCCGAAGGGTGAACCATTCTCCTTAGTTTTATTGGCCTTAGCATTTTCAAATGTGTAATATCAGACATTGTGTCGACTGCCCTCGGCTACTTGAGGAGTCATGTGATCCATCCTTCCTTTAAGTTCTCTTTTTCAAAACATGAGTCCCTGTCAAAGACTGTCTCCCCGAAGGATGGCAACACCACGCAGGTAGCTTTGGGAACTCCGATGCTAGCGGTTCTGCAGAGATTCTACCTCTCTGCCCGCACGGTCTGGTTCTCGGAGCCGCACCCGTACTCGACTGTCCCTTTGGCGTCGCTGAGCCTTAGCACCCAGCGTGAGAGAAGGGACACCCTCCCGAGACCCGTGGCTAACCTCTGGGTCTCCAGCCATTAGGTTTCTGTGAGGGCACATTGCGCTGAATACATGACTCACCTCCCAAACTCGGACCAGGGACAGCGCCCAAGTAACCCAACAGAGAAACAGCCAGATGAGGCGACTAGCTTGTCACTGGAGACCCAGGGCCCAAACGTTTCTGCTTTGACAGTACACATTTTCACCTTTACTTGGTATGGTTGCCAGTGTGGACCTAATCATAAGTTAGTGGAAATATTCAAAAGGTTGAATTTCTACCCTTACCCCCTTCGAGCCCTTTTCACCTGTCTCCAATTAAAAATATAAAAGAAATAAAAGGAAAACATCCCTGTTTTCTTACTAATAAAGGTGTGTGATACATCGTTTGTAATGAGAAGCTTATTTTAAAAACTGTATGGGGGAAACATTACAAAAATACAATTGAATTCTCTCCCTGACACAGTCAGAAGCTCTCTCCAAAATCGTCAGTTCTTGAGAGCACTAACCTTGTGTCCAATTTCAAGGGTAAAAGTGGAGAAAGATCTTCTTCCGAAGGAAAATGCCCGAGGGCACCCACCCCAGAACCCACGTCCCACCCGCGGGACGCCTCTGCTCTCGGTTTGGGTTGGATCTGCTGAGGTTCAAGGCTTACACAGCAGAATAGCAGCTTGTGTTTTTAGGTACCAGTATAGGGACAGCCCCAGGCCGCTAGGGAGTGAGCCTCCAAGAAGGAGCGGAGGGGAAGGAGCGTCCCCCTCGCTGCTCCCCACGGGGAAGGGCTTTGTTTGAAAACAGACCAACACGCCCCATTTCCCGGGACTGAAATTCTCTGTATGTGTTGTTTACAGTGCATGCAAGACATGAGCAGCAAGCTGGCGAGCTAATTAAATATAAATGTGTATGTGTTTAAAACAGCCTAATAAGGAGCGTTGGAAATCTTCAAGATGAGCGAATATCTTATAACTTCTTCCGCAGGTGCCAGGATAGCTACAAGCCATGGACTTTCTGTCCTGCTTCTTGTTTGTGGCTTTGTGAAGGGTGCTTTGCTTTAATCTAAAGTGCTGACTTTTTTCCAATATCACTTTCTCTTCTTAAAGCAAAGAGCAAATCGCCTGTAAAATCTACGGAGCGGACAGCAAAGTTGACCCTAAACTCCAAGCACCACTCTGCACCCACTGTAGTCTAATTCCCCAGACCAGGAGCACCTGCTTCCAGAAGCGTAAACGAAGAGGCTCTCACTGCTTTGTTCTTAGTTTTCTCGGCAGATCCCTGCTCTTTCCTTCCGAGAGAATTAGTGTGAAGTGATAGGACATTTTCTAACAGCAAGATCTATTTTGTTTCCTTTTCTTCCGGCTACTTAAAGCATCATCTCACCGACTGCTCAGGGGTTGGCCTGAACGTCATCGGGATAGCAAATATTTACTCTGGACGTCACTAGTTCCTACTAAAAGACCCATTATCTGCAGGAAGCAAACAGAGATCAAAAGACTACAGAGCATAAACTATCATCAAGCGACACCCCCGTTTTGTGGGGGGGGGCAAGAACAAAATGTCAACACTGCGAGCCAACAAGGAGAACATTCTTTTAAATGAGAAATCATACAAGAAAGAATTTTTTTTTAATTTTCCCTTTTTTTTTTTTCCTTGGATTTTTCTCCTTTTTCTTGATTCTAGTTCTTGTTCAACGGTGGCAAGTGCTGATTCTGGCCAATCCCTGTCAATCCTGGGAGGTTTATATAAATACATTTTGAGTGTTCTATATTTCAATGTATTTTAATTCATTTTGCAATTCCTGTATATGCAAACCTGAAAAAAAAAAATCTGTCAATTGCTTAGAGTATGTGTGCTATAACTTCAAAATAGATAGACTATGACCTTCATGCAAGCTGATTTTTATCATTATATATATATAAATATATACATATAAATATCTATATGTTGGGCCACCAAACAACTTTCTTTTTGATAAAGCATTTGTTTCTCGCTCCTAAGTGTGTGGATTTTGTAATGCCTTGTTTCACTTCCACAGGAGTCCAGCCGCAGGTGGTCTGTGCTGGCCTCTGCTTGCGTCTGGAAAATGTGTATTCAAAATTGTACTGGTCTCTGATAAACGAATTCATTTCGTTGTGTGTATGCTTGTTGGAATTTGCTGTTTCTTTATATATGGTGTTTATTGAGGTTCGAGGGTCTCTTGATTCTAAAGAATGTACACTCTCTGGTTTTGACAGCTACCCCCTTTGTAATCATCATTGTTATTACCAAAAAGCAGTGTTGCTCCTAGAAAATTTGCCTTGGAGGTGAAGGTGGAGACAATGAGCTGGTCACCACGACCCCCTGAATTCATGGAAGGACACTTCTTGCTGTGGCTAAAAGTGTGCTTCCTCTGAGCTTTGTGAGTTTTTGTAGCATTGTCATTCCATTATTTGTCATTCCATTATTTGTTATTCCATTATTTGTCATTCCATTATTTGCTCCTCGTGATACCTTAAACATTCCTAATTAAAAATTAAAATTTTGTTGTTGGTTAAAAAGAATGTGCAAAAGATGACAACAAATATCTGATTGGAGACTGTGTGTTCAGTTTTTACCAGTTAAGTGGGTTATAATTTTAAATGGTCCATTCTTATTTGGGGTTTTATGATTATTTAGACTATTTTATTTAGAGCCTGTTTTCCACTCTGGCAAAGAATGGTGGGCAGAACTATTCATGAGTTCCACGTCCACTATGGGATAGACACGGGTTCGGGTAGAAATGACTTGTTTCCTTTCCAGAAATCCTTCCATTTTCTTTCGTAACAAAACCAGAAGACCCTCAGCTCCCACCTAAGGTCCTAAACTGAAGCTTGAAGGCAATGAATACCTCTGCTTTTTGAAGGTAAATGCATTGATTTTCTGCAAGTCAATTACAGGCAATGTGCATATTTTCATAATATTGCTGACATTATCTTCTGAGAATTAATGTTTCATGCTAAATCTTTTATTGACACTTTTCTTGTTCATTTGGTTTATTATTTCAGTCTAATGAGAAAAATAAATAAAGGATTTGATTGCACTATTTTATTAACTTAGAAATTTATTTTCTTTCAAGGTTTAATACTTAAAATGCATAAAATAATGGTAAGATAAGTATGCTTTATTAAGTCGATCTGGGCTTTAAAGATCACATAAATTCAAGCATAAATTAACAGACTGATTCAAATTCAGTCTGTCTGGGGAAATCCTCCATGTAATTTACTTTTATCCAAAGTTCAGGCCATGAGATTGGTCAATTCTAAGGCAAGACAGACGTGTATCTGTACCAATGATGTTCACCATGCTTGCTCATAATAAAGGATGTCTGCTAGCTTGAGACAAACTCTCAATAGACTCATTGTGTCAGTGTACAAAATAAGACGTCTTTGTCTGGCCAATGTGGTTCAGTGGTTGAGCATCAACCCATGCACCAAGAGGTCGCCTGTTTGATTCCTGGTCAGGACACATGCCCAGGTTGTGGGCCCGATTCTCAGTGGAGGGTATGCTGGAGGTGGCCAATCGATGTTCTCTCTCATCAATGTTTCTCTCTCTCTCACTTCCTCTCTCTGTAAAATCAATAAAGGGAAAAATTTTTTGAAAACAATAAATAAGTAAGACATCTTTATTAGTATGCTACCAAAAATTGGACTCATTGGCCTCTTTGAGGAAAAAAAAAAAAAGGCATAGAAACCACAACAAATTAAGAAGATCCTCTAGTCATTTCACCCAATACCACATCCCTCTGGGACTACTACCTTGTATGCAACCAGGACTATAGAAACTAATAAACATTGAAAAATAAATTATCTAACTTTCTCAACCTTGATTTCCAAGGTTAAGTAATGTTTTTTAAAAAGAGGAATTCATAAAAAGTTGAAATTACTTATCTGAATTCAAGTCATATCCTTTGGTTCTTTCTTAAAGGCTTACAATTGCTTACAAATGAAACAATGCAAATGAAGATACTTGGGGATACAATAGGATAACAAACATCATCTAAAATGGAACTCTTTTTCTTTTCTATCGAGAGAGGAAGGGAGAGGGAGAGAGATAGAAACATCAATGAGAGAGAACTTCGATTGACCGCCTCTTGCATGTCCCCACTGGGGATCAGGTCTACAACCTGGGCATGTGCCTTGATCAGGAATTAAACTGGTAACCTCTTGGTGCAGGGTCGACACTCAACCACCGAGCCACACTGGCTGGGCTAAAACAGAACTCTTAATGTGAGTTAGTAAGTCAGCTTGGTGAGGTCCATGAACCCACTGAAACCATATACATATTTCTGTAGATGTGTATTTGTCTTCTGGAGATGGTCCTTTACATTCATTAACTCTGAAAATGACTAGATCATGATGGCTTACCTGAAAGAGGAAGGCATAGATGCTTTTGAGCACCTGAAAGGACCCGACTATTATCATTTTAAACTCGTTTACCTTCAAGTTTGGGGAACAAGACATGTTTAGGGAAATATTTGGCAAAGAGAACATATTTTTAAGTTAAGTCCCTTTATATTTCTCATATACGCATGGAATAACAGATATGGCATGAGGTTTGTTGGCTTTTTAGAACCAATGCTAAAAGCTGAAAATATAATTTTACAAAATATACACAGATACCATTTGAATAACTGATCCTGGTATTGATACTATATAGAAGACAAAATATTAAATAGAACTTAGTGGTGGTTTCTGCAAGAAAAAATAATTGAAAAAGGAAATGTAACCTCTCTTAAATAATACACAAACTCTGACGATTGCATTTTGACTCTGGAGCTACAAAGACTATGGAGTTACAAAATATGTGTTCGCGTAATTTTAAATGTACAACTCAAATAATTTTAATTGTAGTGCCTCTCATTAATTAGGGGAACAGTCTATCTATCACTCAGAAAGTGTCACAATGGACTAGGTAAGGTTCTTTTATATACGAGGGGAGAAACAGAGAGGAAACACTGAGAAACAAGAAAATATATGACAGTAATAAATTGTATGAATAAAACCCAGTAGGAGGATGTAAAGGAGTGTGACCATTAGTGGTCGGGGAGGCAGCTCTGAAGAGGTGACATTTAAGTGAAATTTGAATGGCAAGTAGCAAGGCAGGAGAGGACCTGGGGAAAGAAGCTTCCAGGCTTGGACATGAAGTCCATCTGGGCTGGGGCACAGTAAATGAGGGGAGAAGGGCATGAGAAAAGATCAGACGAGCGAAAGCCAGACAAGACCCAGCCAAGGACAGAGGAACAGAGCAGAGTCTGTAGATTCCACTGTGAGCTCTTCATCTGAGCTAGGGCACTGGCTGTCTCTGCAGCTGGCTTCCTACTGTGTACAGCTGAGCTTGTAAACAAGACTCCTTCGGGAACGACATTGAATCTTTCGCAGAGTTAAGTTATACTTTTGTCTAGAAGCTGCCAGGGTATATCAGGCAAGAGGGAATTTAACTCCATATTTTAACACTACTCGACAATTGATCATTTTGAGGAGGAAAAGGAAAGATTGAAAGACTTAATGGGACTACTCTTAGTGTTAGACTCAACTACTTACAATAATTACAAATATAGTTTCAAATGAAAACAGGAACATATGAATTGAAAGCACAGACAGATTGAAAGAAAAGAGATTCACCCCTAGACACTTGTTGCTAAAAGATTGAAATTAATACAATAGAAGGAGGAGGAAAAAAACTCTACATGTACACAGAAAAAGAATCAAAAAAATCAGAAAATAAGATCTTAGAGTTTTCCAGAAGACAATGGGTTTAAAAGTACAGTGGGGAAAATATTATTTTATACTTAAGTAAATTATATTTTTATTGTTAAATAAACTAAAGCATTCTGAGATAGTCAAGGCTCGTAGAAAAATAGCATGTATCTACTTGTGAAAGCTATGCTAACCTATAGATTCCAACTCAGACAGGGATAAAATACATTGTTCAAAATAATGGGCATAATATCAACTGTCTACCTTAAGAGATTGTGTTCAATGCAAGGCACTGGATATTTTATTTTATTTCACTGTATAGGAAAAGAAACTCAAGTTTCACAAAGCAATATTTAAACTTATTTTGTGCATGCAATAAAATGCACTGTAATATTTTCTATTCCATGTTGTTAAAACTTGTCACAAACCATTACGTTGGTTTTCCAACCCAATGTTCGAAAAAAAAAAAATCAGTTGTGTTTTATTCCAAATGTAATACAAATGACAAGAATGATTAAATGACAGTACATAATATAAAACTATAACTTGAGTTCTAAACTCTTATTATGTTCTTTTGAAACCAAGAAGTCAGGGATGACCCGAGGACGAGAAAGGCACCTTCTTTGTCCTCTACTGAAGTATGATCGTGTCGGGGGTAGGAGAGTGACGCATGCCCTGTGGGTTTGGTGTTCTAAGTTCCTACCTTTTCTTTTTCTGCTTATGATCATCCAAACCCCCTTTCTATGTGTCTGAGATAGCTCCACCGTTGGTCACAAATGGTGAGGTTCTCCTGCAGACATTTTCCTCTTCGAAGCTTTGCGGGACCACTGGAGGTAGCATGCCAGCACAGGTTAAGTCCCAGACACCAGGGAAGTAGTGGAAGACGTTGGAGTGGTGATGT